AGATTTCTTGTGGCCCAATCCTCCAATTTGTCTAAGTCACTCTGCCCTCAAGCGTATCTACCTCTCCCCCTAGCTTAGTGTCATCTGCAAACTTGCTGAGGGTGCAATCCATCCCCTCATCCAGATCATTAATAAAGATATTGAACAAAACTGGTCCTAGAACAGAACCTTGGGGCACTCCCCTAGAAACCGACCGCCATCCTGACATCGAGCCGTTGATCACTACCCGCTGGGCCCGGCCTTCTAGCCATCTTTCTATCCATCTTACCGTCCATTTATCCAATCCACATTCCCTTAACTTACTGGCAAGAATATTGTGGGAGACCGTATCAAAAGCCTTGCTAAAGTCAAGGTATATCACATCCACTGACTTTCCCACATTATCCATATTGTATGATTAAAAGGTAAAAGACTTGAACTTAATATGACCTGGCTTAGGGTCTACCATAACTTGAACACTAAGCAGAGGATAGTGAGTGACATCTAACTGAAAGTCACAGAAGATGGAAACAGGTTTTATTTCTGGTGGAGTAGAATCTATTTGGGAGTCCTCAATTATATCTGACATTTTACATCCAGTGTTCAAAGGCAGAGCTGACTAGAATCAATTGAGAGTCCTTGTCTTGTCTCAGTGATCGCTTGAGCAAAAATCATTGATAAAATCTTGTGTAGACTGACCTTGGACTCAACATGTAGGTAAGGTGTTGAAGGGCAGTGCAAAGGAGGCAGTGGTGGTGAGGTACCATATTACCTAGTGAAATCATTGGTGCTGAAATCACCGAGGACTGGAATTTGACCACAGAACTGACACTTTCTTAACAAAGACTCCATGTTTGCTATTTAAAAAGTAAATCAATGTAACAGAAAACTGCAACGCTCTCTGGTAACTTTTTAAAAATCAAACTTTAAACTTTATTGAAAAGATTGGATAGTTTGCAATTGAAAATATTTGACCTGCACTTAAGGCAACTGATTTTATTTTGTGTACAATTCTGCATAATAAAGGATGGCATTTTTTTTTAAATGTATATTCATTTTGATCAAATCTACTTCTGATGTGATATTTGTGTGTGGTTGTGGTTTGTTGTGTGGGTGTGTGGTTTTTTTTTTTGCTCAACAAAAAATCCTGGGTGGTGGGGCCCCATCAAAAATTTTTGAATTGGGCCCCGCACTTCCTAAAGCCAGCCCTGCTGGCGCCCTAGGCGAACCATGCTATTGGCGTCCCGCCCCTCCAACCCAAAGGGAAAATATAGGCTGAGGTTTTTGGTAAATTGGGAAACATTTTGCCCCTATTTTCCATTTAATGTTTTTAAAGCATATTTATTTAAACAGGCATAATTATTCGGTTTGTCCATCGATCCAACCAATATTTCTGAGATCAGATTAAAATAGACACGAAATTTTCAGAATTGATTTGTACATGACAGCTAGACAATATTTCAGTACGATTTCAAATTAAAATGCATTAGAAATGTAATTATAATTTTTATTATTACAAATCCAAAATAGTCCATTATGCTATCCTGTTTAACTGCCATTATCACCACATCGCTGGGGAGAGAGGGGCTGGGGATGGAGTTCTGTGGCTGGAGAGAGGGGAGTGGGGAGAGGGAACAGGGTGCCAGTGGGGGGAGAGAGTCCCTGTACCCACCTCCTCCCAGGATTCCCCCCCCCCCAAGGGAAGCTGGTGCGCACCTCCTCTGGGACCGACCCTCCCCCCGTGGCACGGGAAAACCCCCGCATGCCGCCTCTCCCAGGGCTGACTCCTCTCTCGTAGCGCGGGGAAACCCCCGCATGCCTCCTCCCCTGGGGCCGACTCCCCCTCCTGCGTGCCACCTCCCCTGGGGCTAACTCCCCACGCACCTCGTCCGGGGCCAACTCACCCTTCCTGCAGTGCAGGGAAGCCGCCACGCTCCTCCTCCGGGGTCAACGCTAGGCGTTAGGGGAAGGGGAAGTGACAGAGAATTTGGTGCCCCATTTAACTTGGTACCCTAGGAGGCTGCCAAGTTTGCCTGTAGGCATGGGCCACCCCTACATGCACCTTTCCCAGCCATCCCATGCTGATGTTGGTGAAGCGGCCCTTGTGATCCATCAGTGCTTGCAACACCATGGAGAAGTACCCGTTCCAGCTGATGAACTCCAAGGCCCACTGGTCAAGGGCCAAGATGAGGATGAAAACTTCCACACAGTGTGCAGCGGTGGTCAAAAAGGCAAATAGGATGCTAGCAATTATTAAGAAAGGAATAGAAAATAAGACCCAGAATATCTTACTGCCTCTGTATAAAACTATGGTACGCCCACATCTTGAATACTGTGAACAGATGTGGTCTCCTCACCTCAAAAAAAATATTTTGGCCTTGGAAAGGGTTCAGAAAAGGGCAACTAAAATGATTAGGGGTTTGGAACGGGTCCCATCTGAGGAGAGGCTAAAGAGACTGGGACTTTTCAGTTTAGAAAAGAGGAGACTGAGGGAGGATATGATAGAGGTATATAAAATCATGAGTGTTGTGGAGAGGGAGGATAAAGAAAAGTTATTTATTAGTTCCCATGACAGAAGAACTAGAGGACACCAAATGAAATTAATGAGTAGCAGGTTTAAAACTAATAAAAGAAAGTTCTTCACACAGCGTGTAGTCAACCTGTGGAACTCCTTGCTGCAGGAGGCTGTGAAGGCTAGGACTATATTAGAGTTTAAAGAGAAGCTAGATAATTTCATGGAGGTTAGGTCCATAAAAAGCTATTAGCCAGGGGATAGAAATGGTGTCCCTGGCCTCTGTTTGTCAGAGGCTGGAGAGGGATGGCAGGAGACAAATCGCTTGATCATTGTCTTTGGTCCACCCTCTCTGGGGCACCTGGTGCTGGCCATTGTCAGCAGACAGGATACTGGGCTAGATGGACCTTTGGTCTGACCCAGTACGGCCGTTCTTATGTTCTTATGTCTATGGCCCCAATGCAGTTAGGAAACTCCATCGCAGCAAAGCCCTAAATTATGTTGTCCACATTCCCCAGAGTCACCGCCCTCCATAGCAGAAGGGAATTGATGGCAATGGCTACTTATATGAGAACAGCCGCCACTATAGATTTCCCCACTCATACTGATTCTTGACTGACCGGTAGCTGTCTGGTATGGCAAGCTTCCATAGAGCCACACACATCTCCATGGTCAGAGCGGGTCTCTTGTAGGTATGGCAGGGGAAAGCCATTCACATTGGGAAGTTCTGCAACCACTGCTGATCATCCCATCTCTGCATCACAACGTGGCCCCACCTGTCTGAGCCCATCTCCCAGAGCCAGAACCAACATTGCACTGTGTTCAGAGGACTGACTGGTGGCTGCACTAGCATGACTGTCAGACCGTGTGTGAACAGCACCTCTACGTCATTCTGAGCTTCATCCTCATCCTCTTCCTGGTGGAGCAACATGCATATGCTCTCAAAGTACAGTGCTGTTAGGCGCACCACGACACCCATGCGCATGACCATGCTTTCCTGCCCACCAGGCTCCATAGTCATGGTGCTCTGGTGTCTACAAGGTGCAAGCACATTGCATCCCCTTTACCTCATGCGAGGAGGGAGGAACTAGAGGAATCTCTTATGGGATGCAGCTGATGTGAGCCCCTCTAATCACCTGCTGCAGAGTTTGGGACCCAGCAGGCACCAGAAGCATAGCCCAGACTACAAAGCTATCCACAGTACCTCGCTCTCTGAGTCAATGGCAGGCTCCCTAATGGGAACATGCTACTTCAGACAACATTTGATTCTTCCCCATAGTGAGGACATGGACCTTCGACTTTTCAAAATCAGGTTCCCAGAAATCAACCATGTTAAATTCGACCTTATCTCCTAGTGTAAACATGCCCTGAGTGATACCACAGACCTAAAAACAATTGTAGAAATTAGGTCACACCTGTGCTTGCACATTTTGTGTGTGAAATATTCAAATATTTAGAAAAAGGAGCCATTTTTGCTTGAAAAATTACACTTTGCGAATTTTGGAAAAGCCCCTGGAGAACTGAAGGAGGAAACAAAGTTATTATGGTTAGGTCATGTGAAAGCTACATTGTAAGGGATTGAGCTAGGAGCAAGGTTGTCCCAATATCTATTACTGCCCCGGCTCCCAACACTAGCTCCTTTTGCCTTGGACATGTTTTAACAATACCCTATATTCATAGAGAATATTATAAACATATTTTAGATGTGAAGCAAGTAAACATGACAGCCCTACTTTACAGATGGGAAAATTGAAACTCAGAAAGGTTAAGTGGCTTGTACGTAATGCACTATAATCACATTGTTGTGGGCGTGTGCTGCTTCTCTAGAATGTGCTAGTATTCATTTACACGTATGAAACATAGCTTTTGTAAGTTTTATGTGACTCATTGCAAATAACCACACTTCCTGATTTCACACACATTGATGTACACATTCACGTTGAGGAAAGGTGAAACAAAAATGAGTTGAAAATTTTAACATACTTTTAGTGTCTTTTTTCCACCATTTTCTTCCAGTTCCATTTAAAACACCTATTTCTATTCCAGACTTAGAGTGGACTTTGTCTAAACAGAGTTTTCCAAATGAGACAATCCATGCTTATTTGTCAGCAAGTTACAGTCTTGTGAGCCAACTGGAGTTTAAGGATGAATTATGCTGACTACTTTATTAAAGAAAGCTGTATTAAATCATTTGGTCAATCAAAAGTGACACACAAAATTTTGTTGAAATCAAGAATATGGTTATATTGGAATGACAGGAGCATTTGCAGGCAACTTTTCCCTCCTGACAACTGTTAAAAAATGAAAGAACAGCAAATTCAAGACCTATTTTCCATTATAAGAGGACAATAGTGCTGCAGAAAAGTGAGGTTAGTTTCTAAAGTACAAGAGGAGATGCCGCTATGTAAGGAAATAACCAGTAAATTCTAGATTCAGATCCACTACAATCCCCAACTAATGATGCACGTGGATTCCATTCCTGACAATGTCTTTGGAACAATTAAACTCTAGAGAATCCAGGCCACATTTGAGATGTTTGGGGCAGGACTTTAGGTGAAGTTTGTGACCACTCAATAAATCTCAGAGTCAGAGTTAAATCTCAGGTTGGTTTAAGGAGATCCCTCTAACTGGAACTTGTGAACAAATTCAATTAATTTACTGATATGGAACATATGTACTGTAGTCTGCTACATTACATAAATAAGTGCAGCCGTCTCACTGGAAAAGGCAAAAGATTCAGCCAGGGATTTTGGAATAAAATGTGCTGGAGCTAAAATCTTTTCATTGGTTAGCAGTTACATTTTTGTCCTGATGATTACAAAGTATGTCTGCTAACCTATAAGATTCTTCACATTGGTCAAGAATATCTTTACAATTTACTTTAATTTTATGTTCCCAGTCATACTTTGAGGTCAGAATCTAATTTATTGCCTTGTCCTAAATATAAATTGGAAACGTTTGGTGGCTGGAGCCTTTAGTATTTATGCCTCACGATTATGGAATCAGCTTCTTGCATGTATTCTGAAATCAGACTGTTTTAGTTTCTGAATCAAAACTAAAGAAACGTGTTTCTGATGTTGCTTTTAATTTTGTCAGAAATGTGTATTTCACTGCAAGTTTTTATGAATGGTGCTGTAAAAGCATTATATTATTAAATATATGTAGCTAATTATTATGATTAGTGCAGTAACAGGCCTTTGAAAACATTAAGGCTATGTCTAGACTGGCATGATTTTACGGAAATACTTTTAACGGAAAAGTTTTTCCGTTAAAAGTATTTCCGCAAAAGAGCCTCTAGATTGGCACAGATGCTTTTGCGCAAAAAGTGCTTTTGCACAAAAACATCTGTGCCCATTATAGACACGCTTTTGCGCAAGAAAGTTCCGATGGCCATTTTAGCCATCGGGCTTTCTTGCGCAAAAAATTAAGGTGCCTGTCTAAACTGGCCCTCTTGCACAAGAGGGCTTATCCCTTAGCGGGAGCATCAAAGTATTTGCACAAGAAGCACTGAATTCTTACATTAGAACATCAGTGCTCTTCAAGCGGTTAGTGTAGACAGCTGGCAAGTTTTTGCGCAAAATCTTGCCAGTCTAGACGCACCCTAACAGTATATACATGTTACGTATTATTAGTATTACCATGAATGTATTTACATCTATAAAGCCAATCCACACGTGTTAATCCTAACTAAAATTTGTCCTAAATTTCTCTCAACTCATTGCCACTTCATGCCTCTAATGACTTGTTTACAGAGAAGTTCTCCTGATCTTCTGTTTTATCTCACGCTTTCCGCACCAATAGATGAGCCAGAAAAGGTACCCTATTTTAACTGCTAAACAGAGTTGCATCTAGATCTTATCCATCCAAACAAGGGCTTGCAATTTTAGTATAATATTCTTAGGTTATAAATAAGTGTACAATATTTGACTAATTTTTTTAGAGACTTAATGCACCCAAATCACTCTCATTTGTGCTGGGCAAGAGTGACCCAAGAAGTCTTAAAAATGAGAGCATGCATCTGACTCAGGTGCTACTTGGAACACTGAGCCATTGGAGACAGGGAATGAGACTGAATTATCTAATGCATATCCAAAGGATAATTAAAGAAGGGCAAGTAATGACAATTAGTAATTGCCCTTTCTGCTGAAAAATGGAATCTCTGCCCAGCTTTGCAACTATTGCCAAGGACTTGACTCAAGCTTTCTACCTTGTTGTAACAGGGGAAGGAGGAGAGCATGGTGACTCATCCCTGTGATGGTCGTTACTTCCAGTTGATCACCCCAGCTCCATTCTTGGGGTTACTTAAATAAACAAACCAAATCCACCTTTAAGCTTATGTCCTCATTTGCAGTTCTCCCTTTCAATGGGGATTTTTAAATACTGAAACTATTACAACCAAACTGAAGAGGAAGTGAGAGCAAGCCCTGAAGAAAGGAGTTAATTACATCTGATAAAAGCAAGATTCCTTCTAGGAAAGTGAAATAGTTGTAGCTTGGACTGGGATGGATTAAGAAAAAAGGAAGCCTCCAACCTGGGAAATTGAACCTAGGCATGGCATGATAGCAAGTTCACTGGAGTCACTGAAATGTCCTTTCTTTCTCCTGTACGATGGAGGCTGCCCCTCTGCCCTGTAGGTCAGCATTCTGTGGTGACGCGAGAGTGAACTGAAGCAGCTGGGGTGGATCGTGAAAACAGAAAGTAGCTCAGACGGTGCATTATTTTTACCCAGACATGATTGTGTCTCCTGCTTTTGTTGCTTTGATCTTGAGCTCTTCTTCCAGATAATGAGAGTGAATCAAATTGTTTCCAAGCTCCTACTCAATGCTATAGTTTCTAACTGCCCAGAAGTTCAGATTGAGGGTATGTGAATACAATGCATGCCACAGTGCTGCACTGTAACTCCCCAAGGTAGATGCTGCGGGTGTGCGATTACAAGTCCTGAGTTCACACTGGCAAAGTCCTCTTCAAAGTTAGTCCAGACAGTGGGGAAATATAAATGTGCCTTGAGACTGAAGTTCTCATTTTTGTAAAAAACACTTTAAAGTGAATTTAGTGTTTTTGAGATGTGCTGAATTGAGTCTTGGAGACAAAAAGTCCTCTTTGTAGCTACAGCATGAGTACCACATAGATAACAGCAATCCATCCATCTTCAGATCAACCCAGCCAACAATTCTCAGTCTTGAAATAGGGGTGAAGTAAGGTGTAAGGATTTTAGGGTCGTTCTCTTCTCATGCTGCTTTAGGCCTTGACTTCTGAGTGGTGGAATTCCAACATGGCTGTGAGATCTGATATTGTGAATACTTGTGCAGTAGGAAACAAAGAAGCCACCAACTCAATACAGATTTCAGTCTACACCACTATCAAACCAAGGATTTAAATCAGTAAGTTAAGAGAAAAAGATCTATACATCCCCCGACCAATTCCATTCACCCACAAGGAGGCTATGACTACACTGGCGGGTTATTGCACAAGAATGGCCGTTCTTCCACAGAGCGTCCACACTACCCACCCGCTCTTGCGCAAGAAGATTTACAGTATAGCGTGGTAAGAGAGGGCTTCGTGCACAAGAGCTACGCTCTTTTCTAACAGGTGTAAGCTCTCTTGAGTTCTCTTGTGGACGCACGGCAGGGGTTTCTTGCTCAAGAAAGCCCTATGGCTAAAATGGCCATCAGAGCTTTCTTGCGCAAGAGAGTGTCCACACTGCCATGGATGCTCTTGTGCAAAAGCACATCTTGCACATGGCAGTGTGGACGGGTTCCTGTGCAAGAGGTCTTGTGCAATAACCCACCAGTGTAGACATGGATGAAGTGTTCTTAACTTCTCCTCTTCTCCACAAGATTTACAGGAAACATCTGACAAACACTAGGGCTGCTGGTAAAAACACTGCCAAAAATGATTCACAAATGAAAAAGAGAGCATGGCCAAAGCAGAAGACTGAAACAGGCTGATTTTTACTAAGATTGTAAATGCAGCAAGGCTAACCAGAGGGTATGGGTTAGGGTTAGGATTACGGAACAGACTGTAAGCTATTGGTGCTTATAGGAAGGGTGGAGACGAAGATAGGTGTTGATTTCATCACCTTCCCATATGAAGCAATGGTCACTCATTCCCCTCCAGCTTTATGGCAACATTCCATATAACAGCAGTCATGTATGCCCTGCCACACGTGTACAATGTTCCATGTCTTGGAAGCTGAGGTATGCTGTTCAATTTCTGAAACTTAGCTTGCCAATGGGAATATGCTTTTTATCCTCTTTTAAACTACTAATAGCAATGATCTGAAAAATAGCATACAGATCTTAGATTTGGCTTGATCATCAGCCAGTTGGGTACTAGAACCCAATCCCCCCTTCTGCCCTGAGCTCAACACAGTCACAAAGCATGTGCAGGCTCAGGCACACTGCGATTCATTATCCACATGTCATCTGGCAGAAGTTAGCTGTAAATGCAGCAGCTGTGGTCCAAATTATAATGCAGACTCATGTGGCTGGCCTATTTTCCTCCTCTCCCTTGTTTTCCCTCACAGCATGTATAACAGAAGATCCTATAAGGCTGAGGAAGATGAATGATCACCCAATCTACTAGAGACAGCTAAATAACTTTGAGGTATTATTCTACTGAGGACTGCTTGGGACGGTGAAGCTTCTCTGCTTACTCCCCTTCGAGGGCAGCTGAGACATGTAAGCAGACCAAAGGTTATTCAGAAGAATGAATGAAGGCAGTATAGGAAAGTTAGCATGTCTAATACTTATTGACTTTAAAAAAAAGTTCCCCAAAACACTCAAGATACATCTACTCAGCAATGTTATTTTGAAATAACATAAGTTATTCAAAAATAACATAGTCCATGTCTACACTACAGGCAGTTATTTTGACAAAATGTTGAAATAATGTCAAGCTGCAGGACTTCTTACTCCAACTCCGGTAGCCCTCACTGTATGAGGAGTAAGGGAAGTCGGAGGAAGAGTGGTCTACCTTGGACTTCCTGATGTGTAGACAGCACCAAAAGCAGAAATAAGCTCTTTTGACTTAGACTATGCAATTGATGTAGCTGAAGTTGTGTAGCTTAATTTCAGCTTTAGCCCTGCTGTGTAGACATTCCCTGGAAGACCCCAGTACTTAGGCTGCCAAATAAGAGGGCATGCATATTGGGTAAGGAGGAGAATTATTTTCTCCTAGATGCATCCAGTGTCATTTGGTATCATTTTTCTTTCTAAACTTACCATAGCCAGTGTACAGCATGAACTAGGATTCTTAATCATTCAGCTAGCTGAACCATTTTGAACCCAAGGATGACGCCAATCATTTGGAGTTAAAATTTGGCAAGTACAGATTGAATGGCACAAGGGAATTTTCATGGGATACTGAATCATTAACTTTTGAGAGTTTCACATCTGGGCCAGGATGGTAGTGCCAGAAAGTCATCTTCACTACAAGACTCATCTCATGCTGAGAGAAAGCAGTGCTAGTCTTTTCCATTGATCCCAATTGGATTTGGCCATTGCTTTATGGCCTGTATGTCATGACTAAAACGTGTCAGTCCAATTCCTAGGTTTAATTCTGAAGTACAAAGAGAGAGCTCCCTTTTCCGTGAGAGTTGTCCAATCAGATCTCTACTGGAGTTCTTTGTGTAAGAGCGAAATGGAATAACATGCACTGTTGCTGCAAGCAGTAGAACAGTTTATGGAGAAACAATGAACTTTCTCCCTGGATGATTAAGGTGCTCTATTCAGCAGCAGTAATTTCAGCATTTGATAAACAAAGCAGTTCATTTGCAAAGGATTATTTAATCTTTTAAAACTAAAGTAAAGTTAATGCTGGTGAATGCTGATACATTACCCAACAATTACCTGGAAGTTCTCTATTTATCAACAGATGAGGCACAACATCAAGAACAGCAATAAAAATGTATCATCTTGTCAAAGCACCTCATGTTTGCTACAATATACCACCTCTAAAAGGTAGGAGAGAGACATTTTTCCAGTGTTCATTTATTCCTAGTGTCTGAGGCAGTCAACAGGTTCCACTGGTGACAGTGTTTGTTTATGTTATGGCATGGAGAACTTTGAACTAGGAATTTAACTAAAATCAGCTATTTCATATAATAGGACCACCAAACAAATGTCTTAACGTTTTAAAAGGCAACCTGTCTAATTATGATTCATGAGAAAAATTAAGAGTCAAGACAAAGCTGAGTGCACTGGTGTGACCATTTGATAGTTATCATAATGTATTAATTATTTCCATTATAAACCATTTAATATTCGATTCAATTCCTTCAAGAGTTGTTGATTCGGTTGCTGAAGTTTCTGAGCTGGTTTGACTTGGCTGAAAGCTTTCTTCTTTAGATGTACATTGTTTAGAAACTTCAAAGTGGTTCATTCACTTCTAGAAAGCTAGGAACTTAATTGGAGGTCACCTGGTATTTACTTGCCTTAGGAGCAGAGTCACAGTATTTGGCGTAACTGGTCATAGCCAAGTATTTATAATATGTTTGCAGCTAATCAGAAGTCTAGATATATCTGCATTTGGACATGAACCTGAGCATTGGACATGAATCAGAGCACAGTGCAATGTTTATAAATAAGCCAATTTAAATTGACGCGTCAGGTAAAGTCACTTGTCTCATCATGATGTGTGATCTTTCTGGCCCTAAGAAACTGAGCATGACATATTTCATTCCTGAATAATCTCTGTACGCATTCACTTCAATGAAGAAAATATGATATGATAGCACAGTGTTTCCAGAAGCCACGGGGAAGTATTCTGCCTGAAGGATTTGCAACATCTTTGCAAAGGTTCTGTAAATAGAAAAACATCCTTCCTCCATTTAAATGTCTGGCACCCCACAAATTCCCTGCCAAACCCCAACTTTGGCTAAATGCAGGCAAAGAATTCTTGTCAGCAAGTTTAGTTCTTGTTTTAACCAAATTGACTTGCCCTTCCCTACTTTAGTCTCTCTTTTTAGCTTACGATTGACTCACTGTGAAGAATTTTATGGTGGTGTTTACAAGGGATACTATATAGAAATAAAATGCATTTTTTTATTTTTAGCTTTAATCTGAAAGGGTGCTGGAGTGATATCCTGGGTTAACATGAACAAGCAGGTCTGGTTGTAATTGCTTCTTCTGTTGACAATAACTTACAGTTTACACATCCTGGAGTAAAATGGTGTGTTGGGCTGCAAGGAAGGACTCATGCCAAGCAGAAAAGGAACTTGCATTACCCCTCTAGCAGCAGTTGTTTTCAAGAAAGAGGTTTTTTATGGATTTAACTTGCATGCCTAATTAGCAGAGAAGGCCCCTGCAGGGTTGTATGCTTAATAATCCCTTAGCATTCTTTTTCAGAATTAAAAGTAACATAAAAAACAAGATACTCAATACCCAGTGTTAATTAAATTCAAAGAATGAAACAACTTTCACATTAGGGTATCAACCATATGCAAAGTAATTAAAATGCATATTTGATAACAAGCTCATTCAATCTCTGACTTGCTTGTAGTGTGGACCCTGTTCCTGCAATTCCTTTAGGCAAGGGTGTCCTGTTGCACCTCCATTTTATGACGCCCTACTGAAGACAATGAGGTTCACTCATTCAGATCTATTTGCACAATTTAGCCCTTATATTGCAACACACACACACACACACACACTTGAAATCTCTCCAGTATACCACAGATATTGGAGGGAGTTCAGACGAAAAGCAACAAGAGAGTTTAATTGTGCCCTTTAGGCACAGTTCCACCACCCGGGAGGAGGATTCCTGCTCATGTTGCCTAGCAAAGAGAACGTGCACACTCGCTGCTATACCTGCTCTTAGCATGAAACTTATTGCAAGCTGATGCAAAGGACAAATAGAGTCAGAGTCACACCTCTTTCCCCTCTCCAGGGGATCTCTGTGTCTGTGTCAGGGAGGGTACCTTTCCCTGTATTCTTTGTACTCCCCTCCTTGGCCCCACAAGGGCTAAATCTATTCCAAAGAGATTGCAGGTCTGGAGGGACACACATCTACCCTAGAGATAATGTAGGACCTAATCACAACAGCCATACCATCAAAGGCTTGTTCACATCTATTAATGTGATATATGGATTGCCATCATGTGCCAGCAATGCCCCTCTGCCATGCATATTGGACAAACCATACTGTGGATACACAATAGAATAAATGGACACCGATCAGACTTCAAGAATGATAACATAAAAAAAAGTGGGAGAATATTTTAATCTCCCTGGAAACATAGTTACAGACTTGAAAATTGCCACACACAGACAAAAAAAAATAAAAAATAGACTAACATAAAACTGCTGTATTGGAATTAATATGCACATTAGAATAGGTCTGAATAGAGCCTGGGAATAGCTCACTCATTACAATAATTAATTTTCCCCTTTAGGTATTTTCACTTTCTGATTCACATCCACTCTGATTGAATTAGCTCTGATGTTACACTCCCCTCTCTGCATCCCTACCATCTGTTTCTTTTGGTTTTCCTTCATGCATCTGATGAAGTGGGTTGCAATTCATGAAAACTTATGCCATAATAAAATTTTTAATCTTTAAGTTGCTACCAGATTCCTTGTTTTTGTTGAAACAGATTAACAGGGCTACCTCTCTGAAATCTGTCATCATGCAAGGTACACAGTAAGAGACTATAAATATTTGGGTTCCTGACTGTATAATGGTATAAAGCTCCTATTTCTGGCTCTGATCTGAAACCTGTCACTGCTCCATGGCTAATTACTGTCTACTCCAGACTTTGGGTCATTTTGAATTTGAGAAAGAAATGCCTAATTTGGAGCAGGGGCAGAAGGAAAAACTCTTGTGTGGCCAGCTTTGTTGTCACCGTTTTAAAAGGCAGGTATTTCCATCTATTTGGAATGTGAGGCGCAGTCCTATGGGAGATGGACTGGTGGACAGAGTGCAGATAAGGAAATCAGAAATTCCAGATGCATGCAATTTATCCAAAGCCTCAGTGATGTGGTGTGAATGGTAAGAATACATGCACAATATAACACACAAACATGTAAGTTCTTTTATTGATTAGGAAAATAAAACTGATAAATTAGAACCAGGTAAGTCATTTCTGTTCTCATTACAGCTTTGCCAATGTACTTTTATCCTGTTCCGTAACACTTCTAGTATACCTGGCCCAGATCTCACCTACAAAGCCAAATCAAATGTCCTCTACAGATCTGGTTAATATTCATAAACACATTTTGAGAAAGATCCATTTAAACCCCAGTCTCAGTAGGTTGAAATGACACACATTAGTCTACTTCATGGATCTCTTCCCTCCCCTCCACACTGATAGTTGCATATTAATTACTTGCTTCAAGTCTGGTTATTTCATTCAAGTATATGCCTTAAATTAAAATAGCTGAAGATCAGGAAGGATGATTACCATGGATGAGAAGAATAAACATTTCCAGCCTTTTTGTATTTTATAATTACTTTTAAAGCTTTTTAAACACAAACACAATAGCTTGGAGAGGCCATATTTGAACTATAAACTAAAGGCTGCGGGAAATTAAATCTATTGGCTTTGTTCTGCAGATGTTAAAAGAAACTCCCACAAATTATGACAGGTTGAGTTAGTTTTATCTTAAGACAAATGTAACAAGCATCTGTTTTGATTCTACCAGCTGTTGATCTAATTTCCTTTTAAACTTGATACTGGTTGGTTTACACATATGTGCAAAAGTTGTAAACAGCCAAAGGTGAAGCCATTCCAACTTTCCATCAATCTCAAAGTTATTTTTTTATTATTATTATTATTATTATTATTAACAACAACAACAACAATAATAATAATAATAATAAATTTGAGTATTACAGTCAATACATAGCAGGGCATTTATACATTAGTATTCTAAACAGAAGTATGTATACAAAAATATTATATGTAATGTACACACAAATATGCGAGTGCTGTTATTCATGTAATAAAATAAAAAATTCTAAGATCAACAGTAGTACCATAAAATAAACAATATTTATCAATAGCTCTGCAATTTATATGTGATTATCATCAGTTTACCTGGCTTCTGCCCACTAATCTTCCTCCTCCAGAACTACTTACAACATATCGGACATCTCAGCAGAAGCAATCTAACAGAAAAAAAAGATATATTTTTATGAGGGTACAATTCCATGGCATTCTCCTTTTTGAGTGTCAGCTCATGATAGTGAGAAAAACAGAACTACTGAACCATTTAATTTAAAGTTAGTTAGTTTAATTCTTAATAGCAGTAATATGGAAAACTCACATCCAGCTGGAAACTCAATTCAACTATGGAGGGGCAGCCAACACTCCATAATCCATATATACAAACACATATTACATA